GCAATTTATTAATTTATGATCACTTTACTTATATGATATTCGGTCTGAAACAATGATGGATAAAGTTATACTTGATTTACCACATTTGTCGAGTCTGACCCATCTTATCTTCGGACAATGTTATTTTCCATTGAGATCAAATTATGAAAAAGCTGTCTCTTTTGCAAATTGTATTTGGAGTTTACCTAAACTTAGCTACTGTTGTATTAAAGTAGACTATAAATATCGACAAACTCATCATTTTACGGACAGATGCCGTCGTGATAATGGTATTTTTATTGCTCCGACAGTGACTTCATCAACACTTGAATATTTGTCACTTATAGGTATGAAACAATGTGACATTATAATGGATCAGTTATTCACACATACACCATATCTTCGACGTATTTTAGCTGATAATTGTTTGAATATAAATATGAATTCATTGTCGAATTTATTATCAATGACTACTTTAAATATATCACTATCAAGTTTTCAATATTGGGATAGTTTCTTTAATTTTTTACGAAAGATGCCTAATCTACGTCATTTAAAAGTAGAATTCTGTTCAATTTATTCGTATGTAAATGGACAAAGATGGGAACAAATAATTCTTAATTATTTACCAAAACTTGAGCGACTGCAATTTAAAATGTTAGTTTCCTTAAATAACGATCTGGAAGAAGAAGAAGAAGAACAACAAATTGACAGAATACTTGATAAATTTCGAAGTCGATTTTGGCTAGTGGAACATCATTGGTTTGTTCAATGTGATTGGAACTTACATAGAGAATGTGCTATTCTCTATACTTTACCATATGCGTTTGATAGTTTTCGTTTTTATTCGCCTATACAGTCAAAATCAACCTCACCATATGATAATGACTTACGATCATATGATAACGTGCATAGTTTGATATATAAACCTCGTTTATTCAATATGTCATCTTCATATCATATTCAATTTTTTAACATTCAACATCTTTCAATTGAATTTCCAATCAATGCTCATTTTTTGTCTATTATTCCACGATTCGATCATTTGATTTCACTTGATGCACTATCAAATAATTATGATGAACACTGTCAACATCAACTACAAGATTTACTTGATAGAGCTCCTCGTCTATCTTCAATACGTCTTGGTTGGAAAACTTTGACAAGTTCTCTAGTTCAACTTTTTGCAAGTCGAAATTGGTCAGTATATCAACTTGAATTATTATGCTATGGTCGATCTTTAAATAGACAACAATGCATTATGATAAGTAATATAATACCTAGTATTCATTGTAAAGTACTGAATCTTATGATTGCTAATCGAACATGTATACTTGAGTTTATTAATACAATGAATCATCTTCGTGCATTGAATATTCGATGTCAAAATGATGAATCTAGTCGATCAGCACAATCGACACAAGATGAACTCTGTACATGGTTGCAACAACAGATTTCATCCACATTTTCCACTACGAAAATAACTCGACGAGATACTATTGTTCGAATGTGGATTCATTAATAATATAGAAATATATAAAATGAAAAATCCTAATTTTATTAAGGACAAGATGTTTTTTTGTGAATCATTCATCTATCAGGCTAAGCAGATCGTTAACATTCTCATTGTCGAGATGTAAATAAAAAGTAACTAGAAGAATGAAGTTTCGTTTTTTTAAGCTAGTTAAATGTATTATTAACTATTTGGAAAAATATAATGATGTTGGACGTTGTAATATCATTACGAACTATTTGCCAATATTGAAGTAGAATAATTAATGGTAGTACATCAACATTAACAGTAATGCATTGAAATTTGACACTTACCATGATTTGTTCACAAACAGAATGTATGTACTTTTGTCGCATGCTTTTTACTATACAAAATATTAAATGTATCATTTAGCAGTCGTTTGATATGTATGGTTCACTGTGATTGACTGTTGTTTCGATTATTTGTATTACTAGTTTTTCATGTGAGATCGTAAAATGGAAAATAATATAAATGTAATCTATGACACATTCAAAAGTATACGTCATCAAAGATAATATATGCGTGAATCTATATCATTTCATGATTATGGCAATGTTCATGATTGAGTAGATAGATGTATACAAGAAACTTGATGAGACCTATACTTCTTGGTTAGATTCAAAATAATTGCACCAGAATCTAATCAAGATCTTTCAGATCAGAAATCTCCATCATAAAGCATGGATTCAAAACATACTCGATGGTGTATTCAATAAAAACATACAATAATATCTTTCTATCCATGAATATAGATCTTGCTATGACATCCACTCCATTTATATCATCAAATAGTGAGAGCAACTATGTAGAAAGAAAGATGAGGTTCATTTTTCGATGTGGACCATATTTTAAATCAGTGAAATCAAATAGAATACTGAACTTGTACAAGAAGTCACATAAAAATTAGTGAGTGCTAATCATTTACAATAAATCTATGACGTTCGAAACTGTATAGAAAGGTTGGAGAACTCGAAAATTTACCACACACCACTGACAGATGATCTCATTTCATACATTTATAGTTTGTATCAGTCCAATATGCTTGTGTTCTATTGAAAGATTCTGCGTTCATCTGCAAACAATCTCATTGAAATAATTCTCGAAACAATGAATATGAAAATAGAACTGTAGTCATAGAACTTGAAAAAGGCATTTCATTGAATTATTCATTAATTACAAACTATTAAATCAGTTTAAAAGTTCTCTTTCGTTATCATTGTATTGAAAAAATATGAAGCATACATGAACTGTAGAAAAAATAGCAAACGATGCTTTAAAAATGGCCACTACAAACGTTAAGCACATAACTGATGTTTACTTCATCCATACATTGGGCGCTTAAAACAATTGGACACTTGAAACATCGTCAAGTATAAACTTTCGATTATTAACAAGTGCATAGATGGTTGATGACTCTGACAATACATATGTAACTTTTGTAGAAACATTCCATTTCATTTCTAAATTAATTATTTTGGACAACAAGGCTTTTTTTCTAATTGTTTCCCAGCAAATACAGCAACATTGTTCTTGAATGGTATAAAAGAGGGAAGTGGTCTTTTGTCGTCGAACACAAACATTTCGACAGCATTGTTCTTCTTACTACTGTATTGGACCTAATTAGAACAATTAATGTTTGTGGATGAATCGAACATTGTAATCACACTCACGAATTCCGTACCAACTAATAAAGTCAACTCCTTTTCTCGTTGCATAGAGTAATATTGCTTGGAAATTCCATTCACTTTTCAATAAATCGTAGTCTATTAGAATTCGATTTGTTCATATCTTCGCTTGGATTTTTTTAAATTTCTATATGCACAGGTGAACAGTTGAAAACATGAATAAAAATTTCGTTTGTATCATACGTCAGCTGTAACCCAGTAAAGGTAACATAGGAAATGCAGCGATTAAAAGATCAACTAATCCATATGATTTGTCTGCATGATCAATTATTTCTTTTTTAAATATTTTTACATTGATTCAAAATCTGATTTTCAGCTCATTTGATAAAGAATTCATACATCGAGTTCATAATCTTTTTAAGTTAATGATAGTATCTATATTATAAGATTTTCAAAAAAAAACAATCGGACTATTATGAACTAGGGCTGTACCGCTCACGCTCATGAGCGCTCATATGAGCGTGAGCGTGTTTTCGCTGACACTCATGCTCACGTGAGGGGTGGTCGCTCGCGTTCATATGAGCGCACATGAGCGTGAGCGGTACAGTCCTACTCATATGAGCGTGAGAGACGATCCCTCACGTAAGCATGAGCGTGAGCGAAAAAGCGCTCACGCTCATATCAGCGCTCATGAGCGTGAGTGGTACAGCCCTACGCTCATGCTCAGGTGAGGGGTGGTCGCTCACGCTCATATGACTAGGGCTGTACCGCTCACGTTCATGTGCGCTCATATGAGCGTGAGCGACCGTCCGTCACGTGAGCATGAGCGGCAGCGAAAAATCGCTCACGCTCATATGAGCGCTCATGAGCGTGAGCGGTACAGCCCTATTATGAACAAGTTTATTGAGATCGATTAGAATCAGGGGTAGTATGAATCTGCACAGTATTTGACAAACAGGAGAATAGATAAATGTTACTTCTTTTCTTCTTTAGATTGTCTAATTTAAAACAGTCCTTGCGAAAACAAAGAACAATGCTGCAAAAATCAAGATGACTCGGTTTATTTAAAACTTATACCAGTTCAAAAGTACTATTAACTGTTTAGAAACACTAGAGTGTTTCGTCTATGGGTATGCTATTATATTAATTTTCTTATTTTGCATTATATGTAACATTCGAATATGCTTACATGAAGAAACAGAAAGAAATAGGCAAGTGTTGATAGATAATATTTATCACTCATAGATAAGACCCCATTTGAAAATGAGTGCACACTAGTGGTAAAGATGATTTCTAAGTGTGAGCAAGATATAAAAGAGTTGATAAAGAGACAGACAAATAATATTAATATATGAGAAAATCTCGATTTTTATTTTTGTAATCAAATCTATATATCGTATATTTTTAAAAATTGAGACAACTAAGAAAATGCTAATAGGGATATATTTTTTGTGAAATACTTGTGCTGGATTTCGATATTAACAAGACTTTGTGATTACACATACAAGCCATATGTGTGTTTTTTTGTTTGTAGACATTTTGATAAAATCATGTTTTTTTTTTTCTCGCGAGGTAAGAAAATGAAGAAAAGTATGAAGATATCCTTTTGAGTAACTTTGCATGTTGTCATTTTTCTTTTCTCGGTCAGCATGAGTATATCATTTGAAAGAGTATGCGTTAGTGTGAGTTACTTCAACATTTATCTACAATCGTATTTTAGAAAAAAAAGAAGAATAGATTTTTCTATTCGACAAGTTATAAATATTACACAAGAATAACACGATAATCATCTTCTCTTTATAAACAAGCAAATATCACTCTATTTTAATTACTTACTAATTTTTGTCTTCTATTTCATTAGAATGAAAACATTTATCATCATCTTTATTTCTTTACTTGGTATCTTCGTCCAAATCGATTCTGTTATTTCAAAAGCGAAATCAACAGATGTCATATTACAAAACCAGTTAACAGATTATGATGTTAAAAAGAAAATTATAATAACACCGGTAAGTTCATGTTTTAATCTACATTCTCTTTCTACATCGTATATATTTAGGATGCACCAAAACCTATTGGACCATACAATCAAGCTGTTCAAATCAATTATATGCTTTATTTAAGTGGTCAAATTGGAATTAATGCTACAACAGGTCAATTAGTATCTGATGATGTTCGAAATCAAACTCAACAAGTATTTCATAATATACAAGCTGTCTTAAATGCAGCTGGTTCGAGTTTAAAGCAAATAGCACGATGTATTGTTCTATTAATTGATATGAATGATTTTCAAGCAGTGAATGCAATTTATGCATCATTCTTTTCTTCAATGGAAGATTATCCAGCTCGTTCGACTTTTGCTGTCAAAACATTACCAGCTAATGCCAAAGTGGAAATCGAATGTACTGCGTATACAACGCATGAATAACTACTTATTAAACAAAAAAAAAACATTTTTGATTTCATTCAATAAATATAGAACGAATATGTCAAAGATATTCAATTAAATTTGAATATTTTGAATATTTTCGTTTAACATATTAAGAAAAGTTTAAACGACGAATTCTAGGAGACTAAGATCTCCATCATCTGAAATCGAATTATGTTGAATTTGGAAACTCTAGTCATGTTACAGGATGTGATAAAAGTTTTATAATTATTACAATACAAATACTAAACTATTTTCATAGCAATATACTCTATTTCTTCATTAGATGTTTTCTTATAATCATTCTGAGCGATAATCACAGTAACACTTAACATATCCTGCAAAATTTTCTTTTTTTCGTATTTTGATACAAAAATTCTATTTAAGACGTGAAATTTCATCAAAGATATCGAAATTGCATGAGAAAATAGTTTACTAAAAGGTAAGAAGTTGACACACGTTGTATAACGTACTTCTTACTTTTTGTTACAATTTAATGCAGAGCGTTCAATAGAACCGAATTTCAAATTTCCGAGCAGGACTCAACATATAATTGCAATAAAAGCTCAAAAAAAAAGCTACACACAAACTTTATTGACCTGATTTTATTTTATCGCTAGATAGATTCAAATAAAGGTAGAATCTGTTTCTTGTATAAGCTAGTAATGAATATTGATTGAATTTACCCTTTCTATGTATGAAAATTGAATAACTAATTCATGCATCGATTCATAAATTCATCATTAGTTTCTTAGCGTTCAGATAGAGCAGACTAAAATATTACATGATTTAATGAAACAAATACTAGCTGATTAGTGACAAAGTTCCAGATATGTACATGAGTCAAACAAGATCGTATATTTGTATTTGTGGCTGGCTAATGCTGGTTATTGGACTTTATTTCTTCCTAGTTAGCCCATTCCTTGATCGCCAAATTTCACTTCGAATCACTCACAATCAACAATAATACGTTCGTTATATATCAAACAATAATAGAACTTGAATGTAGTTTAAATAGATATTCAATACGATTAGATCATATATCCCCCTGGACAAAAATAGTGTCACTCGATATTTTCAACATATCATCATTATAAATCAACATTTTGAGAAAAGTAATTATATATTCGGATAGTCCGTGGAATTTTCTACAACTCTATATATGTACATTTTGAATTGTATTTGTTCAGTAAAAATAAATTGAAGCACAGTAAAGGCACTCTCATCATCAGATTCTCCGGAAATGCATTTTTTACTCCTTCTTCATTTATATTTTTATGTTTATTTTGAATATGGGAACAAGTTATTAAAAATGTAAGTATATATTCAGAAAGCATGTGAAATTCTCTATCACCCTGTACTATTGCCAGTCGTGAATTGGAATTATCTGAAAACAAATATTTCAAGTATTGTTAATGTACCAATGCATCACTTTGCTAGGTCAGGTATTGCTGAAAATTTAGATTATATCTTTGTGTAAAGTGGTTCATCATAAACCAACCACTCGTAGTAGCATTAAGATCAAAGCTGACAAGGGAATAATTATCCATACGTCTTATTCGATTACTGGATAACTATTCATGGATAGCTGTATGAGTTCATGTCTAGTAATCGAGCGTGTTTGTGTCACAGTGAGGATACATTAACAATACTTGAAATATTTGTTATCAAATAATACCAATTCATCACTGGCAATAGTACAGGGTGATAGAGAATTCCACATGCTTTCAGAATATATACTTACTTTTTTAATAACTTGTTCCTATATTCAAAATAAACATAAAAATATAAATGAAGGAGTAAAAAATGCATTTCCGGGGAATCTGATGATGAGGGTGCCTTTACTGCGCTTCAATTTATTGTTTCTGAACAAGCGCAATTCAAAATGTACATATATAGAGTTGTAGAGAATTCTACGGACTATTCGAATATATAATTACTTTTCTCAAAGTGTTGATTTATAATGATGATATGTTGAAAATATCGAGTGACACTATTTTTATTCAGCGGAATATACACATATGAATAATATGAATAAAACAGTAAATGTATAATTTGCATAAATGGAAAAAAAGTAAAATATAACAACTGAATTATTTATTACTTTAATGCTCTCGTTTCTTGTGTGTATGTCAAGAATATTTATATTGACGAAGAAAGAACACATTGGGTATTATGGTTTACAGTTTTTATTAGTCGCAAAATTGTAGTAATTTTTATTATTTCTAAGATTTGAGAACTAGTATTCATCTCTTGAACGGTGCTTTCGTATGGGTTGTTAAAGTATTAGAAGTTCGAGTATCCTCAATTTTTAAAAATAGATCTATGAGAAAAGATAAGCCCATAGAAGAATAAAACAATGAATTGTTTGTTTCATCATGTATAGTCGTTATATATTTGATTGTCAAATGATGGATCTGCAAGAAGCTTGGCTATGCAAACAATCAACATATGCCCTCAGAGTAATAAAAGTCCGATATTAATCATATTTGACGAAAAAGTTTGATTACAATCAAATGGATACTCAATAAATCACAAACCACCTTAACGATGTTGTGACTTGATATGGAGAGAACGTTATTCTGAATAAAAGAGCCCAAACTCATCGTTAAGGTTGTAATTTTTTCTCGTCTCATTTATTTTTTCGTTTGACAAAATATACTTGTATATAGAAAAGGAAAAAAAGAGTATTAAAGCTGCCACTCGTCTTTTTTTTTGAAGCACCATTCAAAATAGAGTTACGAAGTGACTCCTTACTTCGCCATTAATCATCTCTTACAAATGTCTGCATCGTTTCGTTATATCGGTTTCGGTTGCATCGTTTTCTTAGGTAGGCACATTACATTAATTATTTACATTGACAAGAAAATTGATAAAGAATAAACTATTTCATTCGTGTATCTTTCAGCCTTGCAACAAATGGCAGTCGGTCTGACCTGTTATTTATGTGGATTCTGTAACACTGTCGACAATAACACACCGACAAAAGAGGTAGAAAATAATACAGGATATTCTTGTCAGGTAAGCAATGATAGCTTTCATGTCTATGTGATACGATAAACTTTTTGGTTTAATAACTTTCAGAAAAGCATTACGTTGGCTGCCGGCAAGGTAATTACAACAAGTCGTGCTGCCGTTTTTGGCTGCTCCGAAGTCGATGCCGTCACTCTTGGAATTGGTATCCGAACCACATGCTGTAGAACTGACAGATGTAATTCAGGCATTACTGTTTCGAGTTCGATCGGCTTAACATTAACTTTTGTTATCGTTAGCAGCATCATTCAAAACATTTGGAATTACTGAACACTAGATATTTTGACACAGAAGTTTCAAATAAACTATCGAAGGGTTTCCTACGGTATTTTATTTCATTGCGATGTCACTGGTGATTTTTTCTATTCTTCATAAATATTATTGAATAAATTACTGGCACCTATTGTGATTTTTGGTTGATTGTTTCTATAAATGGTTTGCAAACGTAGCTTTGTTACATAGGTTTCGCTCATCTTGCGGCAAGATAGTTCCCAGCGATGTCAGTCTTCGTTCAATCATTGAGTGTCAACTAAAATATGGTGACATTCGATGAGTGATAATCGAAAAGATGTCGAGACGAAGCAAAAATCAATCACAATGTCAGCTTCTTGATATGAATTCATCAGAAAAATAAAACTCTTAAATACATTATGATCGATATATGAACGTAGCTAATTATCATGCAATACATAGAATCATCAACGACGTCACCGATCAAACTTTTTCGAATGCTGAAATCAATAGATGTTTTCTTTGGACAAATAGTTTCAAGAGATAGAACTCATCAAGATTTTTCAATGATAGAACAAACCAATATGATGTGACTTTTTCATCGATGGAAACTGCTGTCTTAGACTGAAAAACAATATCTAAACTCTATACTTCATCCCTTTTCACTATTCCATGTTGGTTAACCTATCTAAAAAAATATATTCTTCTGCAGCTTTATCGTTCTTTTGATTTGATATCAAAAGAAGTATGTGTTGGTTCGGTTGTTTAAAAAACATACCATATTATTGGAATTGAAGTTCTGACGGAAATTTGATGAATAGTTCACGTAATCTCGGTCGACAATGGCTCGATGCATCTCTCTCTTTCCAGTATCAACGTAACATTCTCTTATTCATTCTATTTTCACAACGAGATGTATTCTGGAATATTCACGATAATTGCTTATTTCTTAATACCTTTCTGGTCTATTTGCTTCTCTTTTCTTGCATAAATCCATCGTGATTGAATCAAGAATATCTAATATACTTATCAACGTTCTATATGCGAAATGTCAAGTAAATTGCATTGATCAGCATCAGGATATTTCAGAGAATATCATTCATCTCCTTCTTGTCTTTTGACAAGTATAAAGCATTTCTTTTTATTGCATGAATTATTACGCCACTCAGATGAGAAATGGGGTTGATGCCTATACCTTTGTTTTGTTTTTCTCCACAAAAGCGATGTCCTTGCACAAGAGACGCTTGAATAGCTGTTTCTATTTACGTAGAAAACTATTTGATACGTTAGTGGAGAATGCTATACTTGATTGACTGGCAACAGTTATTTTTTTACAATATCTCCTTCCCTGCTTCTATCCTCCACTCGGAACAGAAACATTAGATCAATACTTAGATGAGATGATCCTGAATCAGTAAGTATTGACTATTTTATTAAAATGTTTTTTGATGACTTCGATATAAAACAACATTGATGCGAAAAATCGATTCTGATTCGAGTAAAACCTTACAACTTTGATCGATTTTAATTGGAAAATAATCAAAAGTATCTAAATTTCATCGTATATTTTGCTTATTTTTTTTTATTCAAATCGCTTCCATAATCATAAAAAAATTGCTTATCATCAACGTAAAACAAATTAGCCTCGATAAAAATTCGATCGCTTATAATCAAACGGGATTGATTGAAAATGATTTTGTTACACAATTTTCAATTGGTTTTAATAGAAAACAAAA